ACAAATACTTTAATTTGTTTGTTTAAAAATGTCTTAATTTTATCTTCATTCTTAAAATATTTGCTTCCAGTCCTTTAAAGTTATAATTTCATCAGTTTCTGGCTTCAGATAATTCTTTTAAAAAGTTAGTTGCAAATCTAATTACTGTTCCCTTAAAGATCAATTCTATTTTCTCTTGCTACTCTTAAGTGTTTGCTCTTTGACTTGGAGTTGTAGCGGTTTTTTTTATGATGTGTCTATGTGTCAACTGTGTGTGTTTAAAAAAATTTATCCTGAAGGAGATTCATTAGTTCATATATTATTTCTGCCCAATACTATCTTTCCTTTCCTTCTGGAATTTCATTTATATGTATATTACACATAATCATGGTATGTTCCAGGTGCCTGTCCTGTTTTTTGTATTCTTAATCCTTTTTCTTCTTTGTGCTTCTTTTTATTTTCTTCTTACATATCTTATAGTTCACTAAATCTATCTTTATCTGTGTCTAATATGCTATAGTAGCATCAATTTCTTATTTTCAATTAGGGAATTTATTGGTCCTAAAATTCCATCTGGTTATTTAAATTTCTACTTGTTTGCCTAAATTTTTAATCATGTGTTATATTTAGGTATAGATAGTATGCATTTGTTATTTTTCAATTAATAATCACAAAGGGAACTTAGCTTTTAATGCAACTACTAATCTAATGTCACCAATAAAACCTGAACAGTTATATCAATGGACATGCATTAATAGTCTATACAATGTAACATAGCACCAGAAAAAGAAATTGCATACAAAATGTCCCTTGATTTTCAGTGGTTTCTAAGTTTCATGGCATAGATTACCAACCCCCCCAAAAAAAACCCCTGTGAAAGTAAATTTTAGTATTTTCAGTAAAATGGTAAAAAGTTCAATAAGTCCTTAAGTTTTCATATTGGGCTGAAGATTTAAAACATCAGGCTGACTCCAATCTGTCAAAAATGACAGATAACAACACTTTAGGATTAATTTCTCAACGCAAACATGTCTGTGACTACTGTGATAATATAAAGTTGGAAACATACCTGAATACAGAACGGGGATGAAAAATAACACACAAGTCCATCTTATTTCTGACCTTCTGGGTCCAAATACCAAACACTGTTCCTCAATATAAACTAAATTAAGAAGAGTAGAATGACTTTTACCCCACTGGCTGATATGCTTATACAGAATTATCTTTTACTGCATATAAGGGCAGGTCTCAAGCTCTGTTAACTTGCTTTTCCAGAGTGTAATTAGCAGAGCACCAAATTTAAAAACTGATATATGGCAACCCAAAATGCTAAACTCATTTTGAAAACAAAAGCAAACATTTTTTCCCCATTGTTGTTTCTGTGCCATGTTATTCTTAACTTACATAGCTACCAACATAAAAAAATATTGGGGAAGCTCTGAACATATCATGTACTTTTCATCAAAGCTAAAGTGCAAAATATCTCCATATCTTTAGATTTTAATAGGAAAAAACATCAATCATACATAACAAAGGAACTGAAGTGACAGGGAAACTAATACAAAAAAGACCTCTTTAAATATATACTTGAAGACTATGTAAGACCAATATAATATTTATTTCTTCAGTGTAATGTAATGAACCAAGCTCTCAATGAACTTGAGATTTTACTTGATTCTCTTTCCAAGGATCAGAAATTCCAAAATTAGAGGGGGAAAACTGTTTGATAATTTCACTATCCAAATCCCTCTGGGGCCTGTTTTTGTTCACTGGTATTTCTGCTATGTTTTTCTTGTTTCCTTGGGTGACTAATTATTTCTTACTATGTACTAGACATTGTATTTGTAACATTATTTATATAAATGATGATATTACTTTCCTCCACATGTAGTAGAACATTAGTTTGCTTCTGCCAATGGCTTGGGGGTCCAAACTCAAAGAAATTACCTAACTCTAATCTTGGAATTGAGCTGATTTAAAATAGATGTAGCCCCTTCACTTCTAGGATATAGCCATTTGGATTTCCAATCCAAAGCAATGGAGCTTCAATAGAGTTCTCCTGCCCTCATCCCTTAACATACCCTGAACTCTAATGGCCGGCCCCCATCTCTGTTCATTCATCCTCTCAGCAACTTTCTATGGAAAGGAAAATAAACCTTCCTGGGTTTCCACTGTTCCTCAGGTCATGGCCTGGTAATTCCTATTTTGTAAGCTCTCTGACGCCTTGAGATGGTATTCTTTTATATTTTGTTGAGTTTTTTAGTGTCCTCAGTAGGAGGATTGATCAATATTACTGCCAATACCAAGACTTATGGAAATGTAGATATTATTTGAAAGGTTTTCTTAGGCTCCACTGAAGAAGAAATGCCAATCGGCCACAAAGTTAGGCAGTATAGAGCTTTATTTGGGTTTGCCCACCCAGGAGAGGTTCTCCAGTCTGCAGAGTGGAGCCAGGGAAGTGTGCCCAAGCAGGGAATGTGGCGGGGTTTTATTTTGGTTGGCTCTCTTTGTGGGAGCTGGGGATTGGTCCCCTTTGAACAAAGCAGCAGTATATCATTGGTGGTTCTCCTCAGGCTCTGGTTGCTATGCGGATTGGCAAAGCCCGCCCTTTTGGCTCTCTGGTTTGATGTCAGCTGTCTTTTCTGGGTTGTAGTTCAGCCGCCATTTTGTCCTACCCCACCCATCCTGACATTATTAAATATAAGTAATTGCTTTATAGGGTGTATAAAGGGTGTATAAAAATATAGAGTGTACAATGAAAAAAATCATTAAAGGGAAAAAACATAGAGGTTTTTTTTTGCCCAGGTGGCAGATCAGTACTTAGGAATGTTATATGGTAGTCCTCATACCATGTAATTTGAGGAAAGCTACTTCTTTCACCAACAAGAATACTTTTACTGATAAGAATACAAGAATTGAACATCACCTCTATTCCAAAAGCTGTTCTAAGAATTTAGATCAGAGAGATGAAAAAGACATGGTCATTAACTTCAAGCGACTAAAAGTCTAGATTCCTTATTGGTAAACTGGTTACTTTTAGAATCATTAATTCTCAATCAAAAAGTCTTTTATTAAATACATGTAATACAATGATAAATATGTTTAAAGTTTAAACATGTGTATTTGAGTTCCTATAAACTTTCGGCCTAAACATGAGAGCATTTTAAACAATGTATTTTCTTTCTTAAAAAAATATTTTACTTATTTATTTTTAGAATGGACTAAGAAGGGGGAAAGAAAGGGAGAGAAACATCAATGTGTGGTTTCTCTTGTGCACCCCCTACTTTGGACGTGGCCTGCAACCCAGGCATGTGCCATGACTGGGAATTGAACCAGCGACCCTTTGGTTCACAGTCTGGCACTCAATCCACTGTGCCACACTAGCCAGGGCTAAACTGTATTCCAATAAAGTTTACTACTAAATATGTTCTTTTAAAGCTTTTGGAGAACTAACAAGAGGTTTGCAAGAGACCTTAAATGCCAGGATCTTCTTTTTCCTAAAGAGTTAAGTTCTGGTTTCCTAGCCTTTTTACTCTTGTACATTTCTGGGGAAAGCCATTTATGCTGAACCATCATTATTTTTAATCAGAGCTCTTCCTTGGTAGGTGTTCAAAGTTCTCTAAAAAAGCCTCTAAGTACACAAGTGTCCCTGGACTCTAAACTAAGTGTGACAGATTTCATAAGAGACATAATGAACCTCACCCACAGAGATTATTTAAATGGGTTCAGCCTCTCTAGGGTAAGTCAGTGAGCAGAAAGAATCAGTACAAAGAATTTATTGGATAAAGATGCCGTAGCTTCATTATGTGGCTTTGGACAAGTTACATAATTTTTCTGGATTTGTTTTCTCATCCATGATAGGTTTGGCTCCTGGATGACATACCTGTAAAGTATATATAACTTCCAGCTCTCAAATTTTAGCATTCCTCTAGAGTTGATGGGGACTGTTTGTCCACCTCAGTTGAAAATAGATCAGAAGAAAAAAGAGAAACTAAAGTTCAATGCAGGGGGCGGACAAAAGTAGGTTTACAACTGTTTGTACGGAAAAAGACATGCAGATTATGATTATTACAGTAGCTTTATGTCTACGGCCATACCACCCTGAACGCGCCCGATTTCGTCTGATCTCGGAAGCTAAGCAGGGTCGGGCCTGGTTAGTACTTGGATGGGAGACAGTAGCTTTATTAACTCAGAAGAACCTCCTAATGTAACTACAAACCTACTTTTGAAAACTCGTGTGTGTGTGTGTGTGTGTGTGTGTGTGTGTGTGTGTGTGAGAAGATGAAGACCTGTATTATGCTGATGACTACCATTACAGTGGCCAGCAGACATAAAAACAAGACTGAGGTCTGAGGAGGCTGTGGTTCTCCGAAAGCTACCTTCTCTCAATCATCCCTTCCTTCTTCCTCAACTTCCTTTCTACTGCAGGTTCTTTATTCAGTTTGTCCACATGAGGGGACAATTGTGATTGTCCTGAAGGGAGAGAATGAAGTAACTCCCGTTTCGGTTGAAGCGCATCGTATACTTGTCTTGTGGTCTCTTACTCTGAATGCAGCTATAAGGCGCTGCCGGGCAGTGTAATGAAAAACAGATGGAACTAACAGACAACTCTGGACAAATTGTATAAATACTGTGTTTTCATTTGTAGAATGAGGGGCTCGCATGTCCACTTTTGCTTTTATATATCCTGATGCCTATCATTTTTCTGTATCTCTGTCACCCCCACAGCTTTACTTGTCTATTGTCAAGTAGGCAGCTTGTTCCATATCAGCTTACTTATACTCAGAGCTTGACACACAGTGAATATCTAGTTAACATTCAGTGTTTGGGAAGGAAATAAACCTCTATTAGTACCTCCTGTGCATCAGTCACAGCCCCGGTCTGTTTCATATATTTTTTCTTTTAATCCATTCAATACATTTGTAAGGTACTATCACTACTATAGTTTTTGAAGACATGGATATCGATACTCAAAGATTTAATTATTGGCATCATAATAAGAGTAAAACAGAGCCACTTACTTTATATCTCACAGGTTATTTTTCTAAGCCTCAGTTTTTGCATCTGTAAAGTGGAAATTTGTAAGAGTTAGGATAGGGTTGGCAGATCTAACCAACAAAACAAATCATACAGAATATCCCAAATGGAACACTCTCATATTAAAAAACTATTCTACCTTTCCCTGAAATTCAGATGTAAGGGGGTACTCCTATATTCTATCTGGCAACGCCATGTCAGCGCTACCGTTATGACAATGCATGTAAAGGACTTAGCCCAGTCCCAAGCTTTTGGTGAGCACTCTGTAAACGCTATGCTTATTAAATTTTGTTTCTGATTCCAAAGTCTTTCACCACAAATATGCTGAGCTCAGTTTCCACACAAAACTTCACTCAGCGAGAGTGACGATTAAGTTTATATTAATGATTTATCGTCTCTATAGCGCTTTCAAAAAGCCTGGCCAATGGCGGAAAGCTCTTGGGGAAACCCACAGAACTTGGAGTTGTTTGGGGGTTGTCCTCGCAGTTCTGGCACCGGCGACGCCGCCGGCGGGCGCGGACCGCCACCCTCGCCCCGCCCCTCCCCGCCCCGCCCCCACGCCTCCTCCGCCAGTCAGAGACTGCGCCCCGCCCCGCCACACTCCTATAGGTCCTTCTCAGGACAGACGAGGCCTTTCCATTTTCCCGCCTTCTCCAGCCCCTCCTCATCTCGAACCTGCTCCAGCCGACCGGGTCTCCGCCCTACCTTCCGTGCGAACCCCGCCCTTCCGGACACCCTTTCCTCCTCTACCCGTCGTTCTAGGGGGCCTCCAGGTCCCAGGCCTGCCCTTCTGAAGGAGGTGGGAGGGGACGGGAAGGGGCAGACCAAGCACCCCTCCAGAAAGGATGAGGGAGGCGGAACTGAAGGGAAGGGCGGGGCCAATCTCCTAGGCGCCTCGTTGCCATGGCAGCGGGGGGCGGAGGGAGAGGGAGGAAGCTGGCGGGAGGGGGGTGAGGTGCTGCCGAAGCCGCCACCGCAGCTGCCGCTGCCTTCTCGTCGCCGTGTCTTCCCGGAGGCGGTTGCTGGAAGCTACCGGCAGGAGCTGCGGTGCTCTGCCATATTGTGTCTCCCCCTACCCACCCCTTGCCTCCCCGCTGTGGCGACCGAGCTGACGGTGAGTCTGGGCGGAACGCTGCCCTCCCTGGCCGGCGCCGCCCGGCTTCCTTGCTCCGTGCCCCGGATCGCCTCGCAGCGCCTGGACACAGAGGCAGCGCGGGTGGCTGGGCCGGGCGTGGGGCCCGGAGGCGGCTGTCCCGTGACGCGCCCGGACATTTTCGTCCTAAGGTTTTGATGCCGGCTCGGGGGTCTCCGCAGCGCGCAGCTTAGATTGTGTGTGGGCTCCACCAGGGTGTCGAACTGAGAAGAGTGCAGCCCCGTGAGGAGTTCGGAGTTTTTTTCCTGAAAGGTATTGACCACTCGGGAGCGGGTGTTGAGCTGAGGAAACTGCGGCGAGCGGTGCGGTCTCTCCGGAAAGGCTCGGAGGTGGCCCGGAGGATGCTTCGGGCTCTCTGCTGTTTGAGGAAGTGTCTGCTCCAAGCCCCCCGGGAGTCTTTGCGACGCCCCCTCCTCTGGCTTGTAGTGGAGTGAGACGTGCGGGCGTGGAGTCCTGGTCCAGCCCCAGGCGGACTCTGGCTGGGCCCGGCCAAGTAGTGTCCGTGAAGGCGCTGGGCGCCGTCAGGAGTAACTTAGAGCAGCTGCGTGGCGGGGCATTGGCTTGGGCAGGTTCGGGTTCGGGTCCGGGTCCCGGATGTGGGGGTGGCCGACCCTGGCGCCCTCTGGCATCTCCTCCAGCAGGCGCCCTGGGGGCCTCTGAAGGTGGCTGTCTATGTGGGATGGGAGTTTGTGTTTCAGCGCTGCAATAAGGACACTTCCTGTTCGTCTGCTGTCTGGGGGCCGAGGTTACTCGGCTCTTGAGTCCTCTCCTGGATGTGAGGTTTGAGGGCGTGCGCGAGGCATTTCAGCCTTCTCAGGTCGCCCCTGGGCAGCAGCAGCAGCACTAGCAGCGAGTCTGGAACCTTGGGAGGGCGGTGGGAAGTCAGAGGAAAGCGACCCATGTGCTCAGTGCTCCATCTTACTCAACTCCACCCCTTTTACCTTTTAGCCGAATTCCTCTTCTCACTGCAGCTCACGGTTTTGAGGTATCCAGCTCATTGGGGGCACACTCTCGGGATCTTTTTTGACCCGATTTCAATTTAAAGTCTCTTTAAAGCAGCCTCTGCACTTAGTTTTCTCCTTACAGGAAAAAAGTTATGCAGAGAAATGTCACATGCTTTCTGCTACCCAAACTCCGACGTGGGGGAGGAGGGCAGTTGTTTCAGGTTAGTTTACGCTGTTTCTCCTGTCTTCTAATTGTGACAGCCACGTGGCCGTCTGAGTGTTAGAGATTGCCCTAGCGCCACCAGGGCTCAGGCTTCACTAGTAGCCAGGGGCTTTGTAACTGTGCAGTAGCTTTGCACCCACATTTATTTTGGTGTTTTGTGGGTGGGGACGTGGAAAAAGTTGAACTGTACTTGTCCGCACCGTAAGACATTTCTTTCCTTGCAATCCTTGTAAGGTATATATTGACATTTTTGCCCTCCTTTGCCATTTTGATAATTCTTTTTTAAAATCTCAGCAGTTTTAGATACCATTAAAGATTGGTTGGGTATAGAATGGTACATTATGGAGTTTTCCAATTAGGGTTGGGGGGGAATCATTTGAATTTCAAAGCCACTAATGAGAGGTTCTGATATAGTCAGAAATAATCACATTCTGGAGGATTTTTTGATAGTTTTATAAAAATCTGTTTTTTATTTTTACCTAAAAGACTTAACTTGAAAAGATATAAATATATTACCATTGAAAATACTTGTTCAGGGATGAAATAAATACTCATTTGATTTGTGTATGTACACTTTCTGAAGCTTTTTTGGGGGAAGGTATTAAAGGATATGAAAGCTAACAAATGGATTTTATTTTAAAGGAATGAAGTATAAATTTTAGAATACATAAAAAATAAATGTCAAAAGATTAAAATCTTAAAATCTAAACTTCTGTAGTGTTCAGAAAATTAAAATTTAAGTACAATCCTTGATTACTAATACATTATGTTCCATTTTGTGAATACTTTGGTGGATTTGAATTATTTCCATAACATATATATATTTTTTTAAAGATTTTATTTATTTATCTTTAGAGGGGAAGGGAAGGAGAGAAGGAGAGAAATATCAATGTACGGTTGCCTCTCATGAGTCCCCTGCAGGAACTGGCCTGCAACCCAGGCATGTGCCCTGGCTGGGAATCGAACCGTGATCGTGTGGTTTGCAGGCCCGTGCTCAATCCACTGAGCTACACCAGCCAGGGTCATAACATGTTTTTATTTGAATTGGCTTTACTTGAAGAGTGATAAACCACAGCAAACATTTAGGATGTGTAGAGAAATTATGGTAAAACTTACTAGAATTTTAATTACACCATAACAATGGTTCTTAATCAATGAGGTTAACAGATAAAAATATCAGAGAGTCTTCAGTGCAGAAAAGATAATGAGACTGAGAAATCAGCATATATGCCCATGCTTAGGTGAGAAAGAAAAGAAAATGAGGGTATGAGATACTTATATAAAGCAGAAAGCACTGAAAACATACAAGATAATTGTTGTATACATTATTAGTTACGGGATCTGACTATCAAGTGAAATTTAAAAAAAACTGCCATCCAAACAGTTTATGTCTTAGCCATGTGTGTGTAGCTTTTAAACTATTGTCATTTTAGTAACTGGGTTTTGCATAAGTGCAAAAAGGTCCTCCAAAAACAAAATTTTGAAGGCCCAATACTTTGCTGATTTCTTAGAGAAGAAAAGAGGTCTAAGATTTGATCCCTATTCTTAGGTTGAAGAAACTAGTTTAACACACATGAACATAAGAGCTTATATGAGAAGATATGGTTAGCAGTTAAATTGTTTGGTGGAGGCAGGTTCTGTAAGAGTTAAGAGGAGAGGAAAACTAGACAGTTTGAAAAGATAGGGGAGGCTTCTTGAAGAAATAAGGCCCTTGCTTTCTAAAGTCTAACCTTTATTTTACCCCCATTAGATTAATCCTCCTGAAGATTGTATTTCACTAATGACCAAAACCCTTTGTATGAAGCATGAGACCAAATTTCTTCTCAAGACTTTTTAACCTTTGGTTCCTGTCTTCTTCCATCTTATCTTCCACTAACCTATAGGAACTTTTTATTAATTACTTCAGCATGGTATACCAATTTTGCTTCTTTTTTTACCTTTGCTGGTAATGACATTTTTCTGTTGAAGTGCACTTGCACACATCCTCTTAACTACTGAAGATCTATTCAAGGTTGAAGCTTGGCTGAAATTTTGATTGCCCTGAGAGCCTTAGTATAGTACAATTTTATACCTGCCTTTATCTCGCCAACCGAAAACCTCTTCTCTAGTAGTATACTTTAGGGCTGTAACATTCTGTACCATCTTGTTTTCATTTAATAAATGTTTTTTCTCTTCCTAGCATGTGGCAGGCACCAGGAACTGATGGTACAGTCTTGAACAGACAAATTCCCATATCCTTTGTTTTAGTTATCTTTTTAGATTTTATCTTTCCAAGAAGATATAAAGTTGACTACCCAGAAGAATGTTATCTTCTTAGTGAATATTTGATTATTTTCTGAATAAAGGAAAGGCAGGGCTTATGGTATGAGGTAGAAAAATGATAGAAAGGTCTTTTTTTATAAGTGAAGGGCACAAAAGAATAACCAATTATGGATGGCCTTGAAGACAACACTTCTGAATTTAAACATGATTTAGTCCCCCAGAAAGATGGCATTTGAGCCTGGGAATGATAATATCCTTATTTGAGGAAGGTTCATTTCATAGCCACGTGCAGGACCGATTAATAATGGTGGGAATGAAGAGGAATGGGAAAGAGCAATGTACTGAAGAGAAAATTTAATAACTGAGAAGGAGATGTAGAAGGGGAACATCACAAAGAAGATGGTGAGTTTGGTTGAGTGTGAAGTGAGTGAGAGCTATCAAGGTGAGTTTGAACTTTAATGACTAGAAGTTAAAGGTGTAGGATAATTTAGTCAATGTAGAGCAGACAGCTAATGTTATGAATTTTTGTCATAGAGTTGGTTAATCGAAATGTTGAGGACTAAGAATGATATTTTAGAAAAGTAGAATTCAAGGGGTATTTGCTTTGTCTATGTGACTTCATAATTAATATTGTAAACCTTTATTTTACAATACATATGATACTGTTTTTTTAATTTTTAAAAAGATTTTATTTATTTATCTTTAGAGGGGAAGGGAAGGAGAGAGGGAGAGAACATCAGTGTATGGTTGCCTCTCGTGGGTCCCCCACCTGGAACCAGCCTGCAACCCAGGCAATGTGCCTTGGCTGGGAATTGAACCACAATTCTCTGGTTCGCAGGGCCGCACTCAATCCACTGAGCTACACCAGCCAGGGCCGATACTGTTTTATTAATAACTTTATTTCCACTGTATGAGAATGCTATCTCTGTCTTACTACCAAATATAAAGGAACCAAAAGAATGTTTGTTATCATTTGCTTCCAAGGGATTTTGATTCAAGTATTCCTTACTTCTCTTACCCTACCTTTTTTAAAATTTAAATAATTTTTTTCACTTAGAATAGTTTACATTTACCAAAAGTACACAGTATATACTTCATCCTATTTTCCCTGTTAACTTTTTACATTATACCATGGTACATTAGTCACGACTAAGGGGACAAAATTGCTACATTACTATTA